TCAATCATGGCTGATAAGTTCCTCAACCCCATTCTCCTGCTTTCTCCCCGTAATCCTCGATCCCCTTGATAATCAAGAACCTATCTATCTCAGTCTTAAATGTACTCAATGACCTGGCCTCCACAGCCTTCTGTGGCAGTGAATTCCATAGATTCACCACGCTCTGGCTGAAGAAGTTTCTCCTTATCCCCGTTCTAAAAGGTCTTCTCTTTATTGTAAACTCTCTAAATTCCTCTGACTCCAGATTCCCTTGTCCCTAACCCACCAGTAGCAACTATGTCATCAGCTATTAGGAATGTACCTTGTGGAGTTCTCTTTCTACACCTCTAAGGTCACAGGAAATAGTAATAGGAGTAGGCCATTCAGCCCATCAGGCCTGCTCTACCATTCATACAGATTGTAGTCAATCTGGCATCCTTCACGTTCACTTTCCTGCCTTTTCCCTGAAACCCTTGACTTCCCGACTGATCAAGAGTCTACACCTGCCCGTACTCTCCTCCTTTCACAGTCGTCTTAAAAAACACCTTTTTTACCAAGCTTTACATCACCCCCACTATTAATCTACCCCACTTGGATGCAATGGTCACTGTCTTCCAGGTAACAGTTCTGGGCAGTATTTTTTAAAAATCCACTCATGAGATGAGGGCACCACTGGTCAGTCCACCATTAACTGCACATCCCTAATTGCCCTTGAGGTGGTGGTGGTGAGCTGCCTTCTTGAACTGCTGCAGTCTATGTCCTGTATTAGGTCCTCAATGTTATTGGGAAGTGAGTTCCAGGATTTTGACCTAGTAAAGGAATAGTGGTATATTTCTAAATCAGGATGGTGCGTGGCTCAAAGGGGAACTTGCAGGTGGCCTTGTCCTTCTCTGTGTTAGAGGTTGCAGATTTGGAAGATGCTGTTAAAAGGTCCCTTGATCACCTACTGACATACATCTTGTAAATGGTACACACTGTTGCTCCTCTGTGTTGACAATAGTGAGAGTGAATACTGCAAGTTAGCTTTGTGCCAATCAAGTAAGCTGTTTTATGCTGGGTGGAGAGCCTTTTCAGTGCAGTTGGTGTTGCGCTCATCCAAGCAAGTTGGAGAGTATTTCATCATGCTCCTAATCTGTATCTAGAAGAAAGTGGCCAGGTATAGGTGATACAGAAGATGACTTATTAGCTACAGAAGTGCTCACCTCTTGTAGCTGTAGTTGTTAAACGGCTGGACCATTTCAATTTCTGATTATTGGTAATCGGCAGGATGTTGATAGCAATGGTTATGTCACCGAAGGTCAATGGGAAATGGCTGGATCCCTTATTGTTAGAGATGGTCATTACCTCGCACTTAAGTGATACAAATGTTGCTTGGAACTCACCAGCCCCGGCCCAGATGCTATACTGGTACTTGCTGCATGTGAACATGGGCTGCTTCAGTATCTGAGAAATTACAAATAGTGCAATGTTCTGCACTATCTACAACAGATATCACTGTTTCCAATCTGAAGATGAAAGGAATATCATTGATCATTGGTGATTGTTAGGTATCAGACATATCCTGATGAACTGATAATGGTTAAAGGGTGGTGCTAATAATGCCAAGGTCGTTGGTTCAATCCCCATATGGTCAATCCTGCTGGCTTCCAACCGAAACTTCAATACTACGTAGACAAACAGGAGGCTGGAAGAAAACAGCAGACCAGGCAGCATCTGGAGGAAAGGAACAGTCAATGTTTTGGATATTACCCTTCTTCAGGGGCTTCAACAGTACCCTGTGAACGGAGGCTCTTATCGTTTAGTGGTTTTGCCCTTACTTCTGAGCCATGGGACCAGATGGCCCAAGATAGAGGACAAGGATTCCAATAAAAGACGTGAAATGTTAATTCTGTTTTCCTCTTCACAGATGCTGCCTGACTTGTTGAGTTTCTCTAGCAATTTCTATTTTTGGTTCAGATCTCTAGCCTGTTCAATTCTGTGTTACATGGAAGTTACTGATGCTGGGTTGTAAGCAGCAACACAAATACTTCCATCTTGTCATCCTGGACTATATATAAAATTGTAACAACGTCCAAACTCTCACTCGGTTTGTACAGCTTGCCTGAATAGAAAATTACCGCTTTGAAGCATTACAAAAACAAAACACTTTGCTTTTTAGTGTCCATCCTGAACAGTGGAATGTTGTGGACAAATCAACCAGATACAAAAACATCACTTGTACTTAGAATACATAAAGAAATCTCTGGAGACAACAGCAGGATTCATTAGATGATAGGTACAAGACGAAAACAACACACTGGCCTTCTGTTCATCATCTATCCCAAGGTGATGGGTCAATTATTTCATTTGCTCTTCAACTGCCAATGGTAGCCTTTTCCTCATCATCCCTTCCAACAGATATCTTCACCAATCCCCTTCACCAGCACCCACCTCCCAGTCTCTTCACCTCGTACTTCAGCTTTCAGATACTCATTACATTCCATTTCACACACAGTCATCGAACAAAATTTTAAAAATTCTACTTGTAGGTCCTTGCTTTTCTAAATTTGTTCATGGGATGTGGGCGTACTTATTGCCAACCTGCCTTCGAACTGGGTGGCTCATTTGGCCATTTCAGAGACCAGTTAGGAGTCAACCGCATCGTTGTGGGTCTGGGTTTCCATGTTGGCCAAACCAAGTGAAGATGACAAATTTCCTTCCTGAAATAACTGCACAGAGGCCGGTATCCCATCACCAAACCAAATCTTATTTATATATGCATGGTACATATGAATAGCTTGCTCAGAGCCAGGACCCTAGAATGAGAAGGCTCTTTGAATCTCCCGTTTTTTTTAAATATAGTAACTGTACTCAGTAACAAAAAAACAGAAGCTGCTGGGAAAGCTCAGCAGATCTGGCAGCACCTGTGAAGAGAAATCAGGGTTTTGGGTCCAGTGGCCTTTCCTCAGGTTCTGAGAAAGTTAACTCTGATTTCTCTTCACCGATGCTGCCAGACCTGCTGAGCTTTTCCAGCAACATTGTTTTTGTTTCTGATTTACAGCATCCGTAGTTTTTTTAAACTGTACTCAGTACACTAGCTGTGACCCAGCCAGCCTCAGTCAGTGCCTGGAATGAGGAAACTCTCTGAATCTCCTGTTTATATTAGCCAGGGCTCCCCGAATCACTCATGTTAACAACCACAATCAAAGATCTCATAGTCAATGAGATCCACCTAGCCCTTGTTCCAATCACTACCCTTTCCTAAAAAGGTCATTAGTGAACCAGATGGGTTTTTGTTACAATCGACGAGTGGTTATTTGGTCACCATCAAATCAGCTTTGACTCCAGATTTTCATTGAATTCAGAGATATTCAAATCCATTTCCCTAGAACATTAGTCGGGGGTGCTGGATTAATAGTCTAGTGACATTACACCCCCGTCTCCCCACTGTGCTGTGTGCACATTAGCTACCGCATTTGTCTAAATTAAAACTGTAACTACAATTTCAAATATATCATTAGTCACAATGAAATTCTACTAGATATACTTAAAGAGACTTCAGCTTTTGCAAATAGAGCAGAAAGCATTGTTTTTCTGGCACAATTAAAGATAGCAAGAGACTTTCAAAATAGTCTTACAAATAAATATTTGACAATTAAGAACGCAATTGCATGCTGCTTTGCAGGGTGATGGCTGAAATATCTGAACAGAGGATATTAAAGTTTTATTCATATCAATTAAAGCAAATAACGCTTGAAATCACTTAGAACAATTACATATTGTGGATAAAGGATCAAAAACAACCATTAAATCTTAAAAAAACAACCACATCACAATAATTACAAAAGCTACAGGAGAGTACACTTTTGTTTATCATCTATCCCAAGGCAATGGGTCAACTACATGCAAGAAATGGTGAACACAAATCCACCTCCTATTATCCAGTAATTAAATACATCACCACTTTAAGCGAGAAAGGTCTCACATCCATTTAGTTTTTGGGGTGCTGGATGAGGTATTACAGAGTTTGCACTTTTTGAAGTCATGGTGGGGAAAGCAATTGGAAAGGCTAGATCACAAGTTACAGTTCAGGTAAGGTTCTAAAATCTACACACAATGTAAACATAAGAATTGCATGTTGTACCCAAACAGACCTGCTGCAGAGGATGTTCTTGGGAGGTGTGAGGTTGGCACTAGAAGGATTAGATTTAAGTTAACATATTCACTGAACACATTTAAAGATTCATTTCTCACAAAACAGGAAACTTGCTAGACTGATATTACACTAAACAAACTGCTAGCACAGTTTTTATAGTTGGTATACAAATGAATATGTAGAAAGTTTACAGAAGCTTTAAAATCATTTAATGGATGAACTACATGTTGCTTTGCACACAGACAGCTCTGATGCTCATTAGTTAGACAAGTAAGCCTGGACAGTTTTTTGAGTCTAAAATAAACAAACACTTGATGAGGATTCATGATCACTGTAGACTTTGCCACTGCCCACGAGAAGCATTTGTTTCAGATGTGTCAGAGGGCCTTCCAGAAGTTTATTTGCCCTTCCAACAGTGGGAAAGTAGAGATTTTAAAATAGCAATTTTATTTTCTGGTTTTCGACAGATGGACAGGAACTTCAGTTAGTGAAGAGCAAGAAGGAGAAGGACCCCTTTAATAAATCAAAAAAAAAATTCTTGGCAATAACAACCACATTTAAACTTCAATATTGGCGATAGAAACAAATAAATAACACTGTAAACAAAAAACTTAAAAAAGAACTCTCAAATCAACTTTGACAACTAAAACTTCAAATAATTGGAATTAATTAATACTATGACTTCAGGAAATCAATAATTTATTATGAAGCCTTACTTATATCTAAAAAAAATGTTCTCCAACTTAGCACAAGAGAAGTAAACTCCAACGTTACCAATACACAAGAGCGTTTCAACTTAGAGAAGGGGCGGAGGAAGCCAAAAAAAGAAAGTTTTACTGTTGCCTTTCACCAAGCAGGGACTGAAAGAGGAGAGACTGGAGCTCACCGTTAGGGATGGGCGGCTGTTCTGACCCTGAGGAGATGAGGAAGGTCAGGCTGAGCAGGAGGACCAGGAGAGTGAGCAAGGGGAACCCGACAAACTGCACTGCCATCTCCACCGGCTCCAGCGACTGAGTGACCGACTGAGGGCGAGACCCGCGACCGAGCGCGAGCCCGAGCGGCGCGCGCTCTCGCGAGAGCCTGCGGGCGCGCTCACGCTTCACCCACCCCCCACACACACATACACACACACACAGAGAGAGAGAGAGAGAGAGAAGCAAAGTTTTCCCCAAAGTTTTCCCCAAAGTTTTCAGGGACGTGAGAAGTTTGTGCAGCTCCTAGGGTCCTCCCTGCGGGACCATGGGGGGGTGGGGGGGGTTAGTGACTGACATGGTCCACCTCCTCCTCTGGTCACTCAGCCTTCCCCCTTTCCCTTTCCCTTTCCCTTTCCCTCTCTCCCTCTCCCTCTCCCTCTCCCTGCGGACAGAACGCACTTGCTTTTTGTTCCATCAGAAACAGTCCATGTCCGGGGGTGGAGCAGGCAACTTCCAAATGCTGGGTCCCTGCTTTATTTGTATAGCCGCCTACTGCATCAAATCACAGCCGACCTGCTGCAGCGCTGTCAATTTTTGTTTCTTGTTTGCCCTGATCTTGAAGGTGTACCTTTATTCATAGTAATTGCTTCCATTTGAATAAAGGCACGCCTTCATAGAACATTACAGCGCAGCACAGGCCCTTTGGCCCTCGATGTTGCGCCGACCTGTGAAACCAATCTGAAGCCCATCT